CAGGCGTTCCCAGGACGGGTCCCTGTTGTCCTCACTGACCATTCCTTCCCATCAGGAGGTGGGATTCCCTTGTTTTTACTTGGCCCTTATTGGCCATTACTGTTATGATGACACAGGAAGTGGAGGTTTTTCCCTGCCTGCAATGTTAATAGTATTATAATCTATTACAATTAGCTGTAGCTGCACCTTTTCTTAAGAATGAGCTCATTTCCTCCTTCTGTTGTTTATCCCACTTCCCGCCTTCCCTTCCTCCCCGCTTTCCCCCCACAGCCCGATTCTTTCTGCCTATATAGGAAACATATATGATGGCATATTGGACATAAACAAAGAATTCCACAAAGATTCACTTGCTCATTTGTCAATCATTGAGCAGTTGATATTTAATCCCTGCTAGGTGTCAGGTAGTGTTCTAGATTCTGGAGAATTACAGTGGTAAACGAGGCAATGTCCCTGCTCTCAGGGACTTAATGGGGACTGAGGGAGGGCAAATACTGATAATGAAAAAGAAGATAGATACACAAAATAATTTCAGACACTAATATGGAAATATTTTTAATTGGTTAGGAACTTTTATTTTATATGGACAGATTCGAGAGTCTTTAAAGGTGACACTCAATTTTTACTATTGTTTCTTGAGATATAATATACCAACAGCAAAGTGCATAAGCCCTAAGTGTACAACTCATATACATTTAGATAAAGTCTTTTATATATATTAATACCCCTGATTACAGATTGCAATATTGACTGAAACAAAAAATTAAAAATTTATTATGGAAAATTCACAAAACTATATAAGTATAAAGGAAATTTAACTAAACTTTTCTAGCATCAAAGGTCTAGATCTAAGGACAACGCAGGGAGACAGGAGACTCCAGACAGTTGGGAAACTCTGCAAGATAAATCAGCCTTTTCCTTAAACAAATAAATTACAAGGAAGAAGAATAAGATGAAGGTAGAATTCATGGATTAAAAGAAACTTAAGATACATATTATCTGATCTCAATATTGACCTTATTTGGATCCCAATTCAAATTAACAGAATTATATAATATAAAAAAAACTTTTTTAAAATTGGGGAATGGGGGAGGGAAACAGTGTTGGGGAATTGGGGAAAGGGACCTGCCAAGTTGTTGTTCTTCAGTCTTAGTTGTGGAGGGCGCCAGTCGCCATCTGGCTGCCCGTTGGCAGCTCGTGGCCTCTAAGCTCAAGGTGCTGTGTTCAATCTTAGTTGTGGTATATATTGTGGTATATAACCATTCCATGTGGGAGTCGAACCAGCAGCCTTGTTGTTAAGAGCGCACGCTCTATGCACTGAGCCATCCAGGAGGCAGCTCAGCTCAAGGTGCCAAGTTCTGTCTTAGCTGTGGGCGTAGCCCACTGTTGAAAGGGTAGTCTTGTTGTTAGGAGCACATGTTGTCACCAGCTGAGCCATCCTGCCAGTTGTTGGCAGCTCAGCGGCAGCTCAGCTCAGGTGCAGCATCACTGGGAATCCAGCCAGCGGCCCTGTTGCTCAGAGCTCGTGCCCTTAAGCTAACTCTTAACCAACTGAGCCACTCGGCCAGCCCTAAAATATAAAATTTTTAAGGCTATCAGGGAAATATCTAGCTCGATACATAATATTAAGTAGTTATAGCTAAATTCTTTTAGGTGTGATAATGGTATAGTTTTTAAAATAGTCCTTATTGTATAGTCAAGTATGAGTATATTGAAATATTTACAGATAAAGTGATGTTGCTTGGGATTTGCTTCAAAATAAGGATGAAGATGAATGGGACTATAGACGAAACAAGATTGGTACTTTATTGATAATAAATTTAGCATAATTCACTGCAAAAAATTGTATATAAGTTGACATTTAATCAATTTTCAATTTTCTATGATTGTAAGGCTTTAAGTGTTAAAAAATTTCTCCTGAATTGGGTTACCACAATTGATCAAAATATAAATATATAACAAATATAATCTATGATTAGCAAACATAAAAAGTAATTATTATTAGGATTTATCTCTTAATGAGATAGAAGGGACTGTCTTGTTTTTCTCAACACATGAGCAATGCTTATTACTAGAATGAAGTATTAAATCTATTCCTTCTTTTGTTTTTATAGATGTGTTGAGAAATCCTGCTGACATAAATGATCAGATGAGTGGTAAAAGGGCTATATGGTAATAGCAACTTCAATTTTACATGCCAAAATCACATTGCATTCTATCAACAGAAATGGTTTTTGGCCTCTTCTCATTTTATTGGAGGGGAATAATAGGGAACCACTTTAATCACAAAGGATTTTTTCATCTACTCAATATTGGCCAGCAGTATTTCAAATGAATCCTTTTTATCTGTTACCCCAGAGGTTTTGACACCCCAAAGCAATGCACTTCGGTAAGGTTTGGGGTGAGAAGCCTGACTATCTTGTGAAAGAAGTCACCTTGACCAAAGGGATGTTTTCCAGGGACACAGATTTAAAGGTATACAGATAGAAAAGAAGGACCTGGAAATTGGTTCTCTCAAAACTAGCTGCCTCCACACACTGAGATTTGTGCATTCTCCACTCCCCCCCAAACCCATCTCTACCCCCTCAGAGTCCTCATACCCTTGTCTTAAAGCTGCTATAGTCTGAAAAGACCCAAGTGAGGCAACCGGCCTCCTTCCTTCTATTGACTTTTAGGAAGACTTAAGTTTTTTTTTTGTACTCTATTTTTCTCCCTTTCTTTTAGATAAAGCTATTCATATATGGAAGTTTAAACATTTTCTTCCCCACCTTGGTGGACTGCCTTGAGCATTTCCTGGGTCACTCATGGCACTATGGAGACTACAGATTCAGAAGAATAATCATTAATAGCATGGCTTTTGAGAACGTGGCTGGGAATTAACCAGGTGGCTGGGTTCAGGCGCCAACACCAATAGTAAACTGCAAATTGACTTAGCTCCAGAGTAATACGGTTGATTGTACTGAAAGTGCTGGGAGTCTTAAGAGCTATTCCCTGAGGGTTGTCATTAGGAGAACTTTTTTTTTTTTAATGTGTGAGTTTTTTTTTTTTAAGATTTTTATTGGGGAATTGGGGGAAGGGGAACAGACAAGTTGCTGTCCTTTTTGTTCTTCAGTCTAATTGTGGAGGATGTTGCTTCACTGGCCCAAGTTGGCACCATCATTGTGTTCTTCCTGGGAGAGGCAGATCAGTCACCGGCTTCTGGACAGCCGCTCACAGTGGCTGCTGGCCAATCATGCTGGCTGCTAGCTACATACGGTAGCCCATGGCAACCCACTGCAGCAGTGGCTGCAGTCTAGGCCGTAGCTGGGGACGCCAGGTTGAGCTGTTGTTCAGCATCTTAGTTGTAGAGGGCAGTGTCACTGGCCCTCATATGTGGGATCCCAACGAAGGCCCTTTGGCGTCTCAAGGCAGCTCTTAAACAACGCTGCCACTGGGCCGGCCGCGTGGCGCGATGGTTAAGAACTCGCTTGGGATGCCACAGGGCCCCGGTTCGGATCCCACATGTGAGGGCTAGTGACACTGCCCTCTACAGCTAAGATGCTGAACAACAGCTCAACCTGGAGCTGGGCTGCTGTGAGTCGCCGGCGAAGGCATAGGCTGCAGTCCCTGTGGCAGTGGGTTGCCGTGGGCTACCGTGAGCGGCCAGCAGCCAGCGTGAGCGGCCAGCAGCCGGAGCGGCTGTCCAGAAGCCGGCGACTGATCTGCCTCGCCAGGGAAGAGCACAGTGATGGTGCCAACTTGGGCCAGTGAAGCAACATTCTCCACAGCTAGACTGAAGAACAAAATGACAGCAACTTGTCTGTCCCCCTTCCCCCAATTCCCCAGCACTGTTCCCATCCCCCCAATTCACCAATAAAAATTAAAAAAATCTTTAAAAAATAAAAACAACGCTGCCACTCAGCCGGCCCAAGGGGGGACATTTTTACATGAAACTGTTGGGGAGGGGGAATTCCCCCACTACCCTTCTTGAGTTCTTACAGCTGGACGAGTAAAATTGACACAAGACCAGATTAATAGGAGGGGGGAAAAAAACAATTTAAAATGTGGGCACAGATCACAGATGATGCTCTGAGAAATGATGGACCAGAGCCATCTTTTAATACTTTTTAGACAAAGAAACAATAAATTTGTGAAGAATCTACAGGACACCTAGGTTTGGATGTTCATTAGTGAGGATTCCAAGCAGAGTTTGGGTTTGGGTAGTACATTAATAAAGGAGTAACAAGTTTTGTTTACATAAATTTTTCTTCTCTGGATTCCTTAACTCTAGCAATAAGGGTGTCTTTCCCTCTAGGAGTAAGGGCATCTTTCAGATGGGAGATTGATCTCCGGTTTTCAGGGGCCGGCACATAGAGAGGTCAGAGCTTTCTCTTTGCATTAGCAGTTTCTTAAATAACTTTAATTCAAAATAATCAGTATGCTATTGTGAAATATTTTGGAGAGGACTGCCCTGAGGCAGGATAATATACACAGAAAACTTCGTTTGGAGGCATAAACTGGGTTTATTTGTAAATTTCAAATAAAGATGAATTTTTTATATTGATGAATCTTTCCAAAGTTTGCTATGGGTCAGCTCTGGACCTGGCTCCCTCGGGCACTGGGAGCTCTCCTCAGCCCTTGGCTACCTCTTGGGAGACCACGAGTGGAGCGCAATCCAGAGTACGCGGCTTCCCCAAAGTCCCCTCTCGCACCTCCTCCGCACCCTCCCGGGCCATCAGTGCCCGAGCATGCGCCCTGAGTCCGAGGTGTGGGGCATCCCGTCCAGCCGGGCTAGCAGGGGACGCGGCTCCTGCCGGCGGGAACGTGAGGCTGGAGTGCCGCGTTAGTGTTCGGGCCCTGAACCCTCGCCTCCCGATGGAGGCCTGGAGGTTGCAAACCACCGAGAGGCGAAGACCTCCCATTTTCCTAGAGAGAACAGGTGGGCGTGGGGGGACACGGGGGTGGGTGGGTGGCAAAAAAAGGACCGACCCGGAAGCGAAACTGAGGGAGCTTCCGTTCTTTGTTCTGTCCCCGGTGTGTGGGTCTGTGACTGTGTCCAACGGGGCCTGGTCCGTGTCCGGCCCCCCAAATCTCCCGTCCCTGCCCCCAGGGTGAGTCCGGCCGCTCCCGAGGCTCGCGGTGAGACGGAAGCTGTAGTCACCGGGGAAAGGGGTGGTGTCCGTGCCGCTGCGTCCCGTGGGGTGCCCAGGCCCGCCCGGAGCAGGGTGCCGGGAGGCGCCACTCCCTCCGCCACCGCCGGTCCCGGACTCCGTTTCCCCGGGGACACCCCCCCCCACCCCTCCTGAGCGAGACTCTGCGTGGGAGGGAGGAAAGGTGCTCCGGTTCTGGTTTTGTGATTTAGCGCCCAGCTCGAGCACTTAAACGTTCCACTATGGTTGTAGAAGCTTCCCTCTCTTTAAAACAACTGATGACAGCGACCCTAATTTGGTAGTTCTCCGAGACACTTTTAGTTGAGGTTTACAGTTATTCGCCCTCGCGGCAGGAGTGGAGGTCTGGTTTTACTTCGGTGGGTCTGAGGATCAGAGAATGAGTTCGAAGTGTGCACAGTTAGAACTAGGTCTGGGAGGGAGTGCAAACTCAGATTCCGGGAATAATCCGCTGGCGCCCAGTAAATCCAGTCTTGTAGCGGGAGTGGTACAACTGTGTCTGGCTCCCATTTCAGTTGTTTTAAGATACCTGATTTGATCCGTTTTTGAAGTGGGATTGAACACAGACTGGTGTTTACCCTCTGAGGGCATGTGTAAACTCTACTAGAGGATAAGTAACTGGATAATGAACCAGAAATCTATGGACTAACTAGAGAAACTATAGATATTTATCCGCAAGAAGAGTTTGTGGCGAGTGGGCATCATTTGGTTTTGGACAGTTGTGTGGAAGAAGATTCTATCATTTAAGCTCCATAGGGTACTAGGCCTCCATGGGGTGAAGGTCCAAGGGGATAGATTTTCAGCTTACCTGAAAGACCTCACTGATGGCCAAGCTGTGCAGCAATGAACAAACTCCTTGCTGAAGTATTGGGAGTAATAGCAAGTTAGCTGATGGAACGTTTCAACTTGAGAAGGTGATTCTTACACTGGATGGGAGTTGACTGAGAGAACCTTCAGTTCCATTTCAGCTCTCTCTAGGGGTGCACCGCAAATATCAGTTGTCTTAATTGGTATTTGTTAGATTATGTCCGGTTTTTTTCTTATCTATAAATATCTACATTAGAAGTGAAGTTTATATGAGTATTTTAAATTCCCTTTTCTTTTTAAATCATGCAGCATTGGTCAACTAAAGTCAGAATTCCCAGGAACTTGAACACAAGCTCCCAGTAATTTCTGCACTGGCCTTCTAGTGATAACTCCAAAGAAGGTAGGAAAGAATCCAGCAGGTAAAGCTTTCCATGACTCGTTTTCACCACCCGGTCATCTTTCTCAGTCCACAGAAGCAGTTCCAGGGAGAGGGGTTGGCAGTGGAGCAGGGGAAGGGCTCTGCCTGCACCTGAAGCTGTGGGAGCACAATAGAGATTTTTCTTTCTATGAGAAACATTGTTTACTGATCCAGACACTGGGGACTTGTTCTCAACAATATGCCTTTGAGTTCCAGCCTTGGTTAACCCAGCTGTGAGGAGTGAGCATCGCTTTTTTTCCTCAGGAGTCACAGCCCCTGACTTTCCTTTCTAAGGAGAGTTTGGACTGAGAGCTGATTTGTTGGGGGTGTCTGCTTATAAACAGTCCTGGAAATTGTAAAGTTTGTTGACAGGAAAAGATGGCTGGCTCTGACACAGACTTAAAGGGACCCAGATGGGAGGGAGATGGTGGCAAGAGGGTGTGTCAGCCACCTTGAGCTGGTGGGCCTGGCTCATGCTTGATTCAGTGCTTTTCACTGTAATGGTGTTGGAGGTGGGTATTTTATACTCCTTTGTTGCCCAAAGATTAGAGTTCTCTGAACTCTCAGTGGCTCTCAGACAGGGCCCCTCCCCTTTTTATGCCTTATGTGAATGTGGTAGTCTGTAACAATGAAGCAAAGACCGTTTGCATTCCTGATTTTCTACTCTTTCCAATAATGCCTTACAATATAGTTGGCACGCAATAGATGTTTGTTATATGAGCAGATAAACAGATCAGGAGAGGGAGGTAGACAAAATCCAAGGTTTTTTTCTTTGCTCTTGCCTAAGTGTGAGGATGCTCTGGTGGCTGCTGCATCTGTTCTAGATCTGTTGATTCTTGCCACAGCATTCAAGTATGAAGTGGAAACTTCTACTTGAAATCTAAACCTTAGGCTAGGTGCTAATATTACATTTTATTCACTAGAGCCACAGAGAACAGATCTCTTTGATTGTTGTTGCATCTGGGGAGTATGGACATTAGTAGGGATAGAAACAGAGTCATAAGTAATCTTGTGTTTTAAAAAAAGTATTGGTCTCTGCTCAGGGACTTAACATTCTGACCCAAGGAAATATATTAGGAGAGAAAGGAGGGGAAAAAAAAAGTTCACTGCTACCTTCTCAGTGAGAGGAAACCCAGCAACTGGCACTAGTCTTTTAGATCTGGGTGAATATATATACCCACTCCCTGTAATGAGACTCACAAGGATCAGAAAAAAGCCCAAGTTCCTCAATAATATCCCAGCTTTAACTGGGACTGGAAGCAGAAAACTGTTTTAGAAAGAAAGGAGAGGAAGAGTTGATCTTATTTAATTTAATGGATTTGAGCTGTTTGCCCCAGCTCGGTGAGATAGGTGTAATTTCCCCAGGTTTCTTAAAATGAGAGACAGTACTCATGAAAGTTTCTCTGATCTCTGTTATTTGGGTGCTATTTCATGGCACCTTTTCCTCTAGGGATAACACCTAAATTTAATATAACAGCTAGAAACCTAATTAAGCAAGTTTTTTTTTTCTCCTACCAGTTCTAATGTTTATGAGGGTTATTATTATTTTTTCCTCTGAACAAATAGCTTTATCCATTATCTCAAATACGTTTTTGTTTTTGTTTTTTTAACTTTATTGGGGAACGCTGTGTATTTTCCCAGGACCCATCAACTCCAAGTCAAGTTGTTGTCCTTCAATCTTAGTTGTGGAGGACGCAGCTCAGCTCCAAGTCCAGTCGCCATTTTCAATCTAGTTGCGGAGGGTGCAGCTCACTGGCCCATGTGGGAATCAAACTGGCAACCCTGTTGCTCAGAGCTCACGCTCTAACCAACTGAGCCACCCGGCCGCCCTCAAATATTCTTTTTTTTTTAAGCTGAGCCATCCTGCCACCTGTTGGCAGCTCAGTGGCTGCTCAGCTCAGGCCGGGCATCGAACTGCTGTTGCTCAGAGCTCAAACTCTTGAGCGAGCTCTTAACCAACTGAGCCACTCGGCCGGCCTCCGATATACTTAAAAGTTGGTATGATGCATACACATTTTGCAATCTATGTGTACACTCTTTTTCACTTCACTCTGATATTTTTCATATTTTCGATAGTTGCTCAGTGTTTCATTCTGTTAATATTATTTGGCACTGGTGTTCCGTTTTTTGTTGTTATAAATATCCCTCAGTGTGTGGGGGGAGGCAAAGGTGGAATATTATTGAGGCACTTGGTCCCTTTTAGTGACCCTCATGCAGTCTCATCACAGGAAGTGGGTGTGTATATTCACCAGGGTCTTACAGCCTAGTCCCAGTTGCCACATTTCCTCTTGCTGTTTTTGAGTAATGAATGAAATGCTAGTTTCCCCTTTCTGTATTCAGGAGGTTGGTCTCTTTTTTTTTTTAATCTTTAAACCTTGAATTCTTGCTTCTGCAGTGCTTCCTCATTCTCATTCAAAACCTGCTTCTTACAGAGTCTGCAAATAGGAGAGCAGAGACAGGAGCTTCTGGCCCTACCCATGGAAACTCAGGCTGATCATGTATCTCAGGAACCTCAGGCCCTGCTTGAGAGTGGTAAGGAATAGGGATTCATTCATTCTTTTATCCAGTCATTCAGTGATTATCTTTTGAGATCTCTTATTCACTAGGTACTAGGCTAACTGCTAGAATCCAGACGTGGATAAGACACAGTTCTTGCCGTTCAGGAACTCACAGCCCAGTGGGGAAGGCTGACTGAAGTCAATAATTAATGTATAGCTTGATAAATTTTATAGCTGAGGCATTTTTAAGGGCTGTGGGTTCATTGTACAGGATTAAGAAAACTGTGGCAGTCACCGAATCCCATCTTCCAGGCCCTTTGTAATAGCTAACGTCATAGTCCTGGTTTGTGCTCTTTAGGACCATTTGCTTAGAGGAGGCTCTTGGGAATTGTTTTGTAGGTCACAGGCAAAAGGAAAAAATGGAAAGGAAGCCACAAAAGTATTTGTATTTTGCTTTCATAGGCTGCTTTCATGACTTTCGAGTTGGAGCCAGTTTCAGTCCTAATGGGTATTATTCCCATGCTTATCAGGAAAACATTTAAGGACCTTTTTGTCTGGGTGATTCTGTAGAATCTAGTATCGAAGGATTTAGTCTCTAAGGGATAAATGTAAACCTAAGAATTAAAAAAAAAAAAAGATAGGTGACCAAGCACAGAAACAGGAAACATTTGTAGTGTTTTGAGATTTGTAGATTGGATATGGGGGTGGAGAAGAGCTCTGAGTGTTCTGTCTTCAGTCAGGGTTGGGGTGAAGTTTCTAGTTTTCCTCTGGTCCAAGAGAACTTCATGCAAGAGTTTGAGTTCAGAGATGTGTAGAATGATGGAAGGGACTTGAGTTGACAGCCTGTTTCTGGCCAAGTGTGGGAGGATGGACAAGAACACACTCATCACTAACAGTAGGATGAGGCAAGTTTCATTGAGAGTAGAGTGACTGGAGAGAAAGGAGGGGACCGGGTGCAGATTGGAGAGCAAGAATCACCTATCAGCAGGGCTTTGGACACCTTTGCTCGGGGTGTGTCCACACTGAACATGCCTGTGGTAAGCACCTTTTGTGGCTGCAGAGGACCTGAACTTAGAAATGTCAGCGGGAAGGAGGCCTAGGTTGTTCCAGGGACCCCATGAGGCTTCTGTAGGTCGGGAGGCCTGAGAGCAGATAGACTCTCTCATGGACGCTTTCATTGTCCTCAGCTCTTCCTTCCTCAAAAGTTGCTGCATTTTCCGACAAGGACAGTCTGGGGGATGAGGCGTTGGCAGCCGCACTCCTAAAGGCTAAGTCCCAGGTAAGCTGTGGCTCCCCTTACCCATCTCTTCTGTCCTATTCATGGACACTTGGTGCAGCAACATCCCATTCGGTACCCTAACCACAATTCCCTCCATCCGGACTGTGGTCCTTTCCTGCTGTACAGTGGGCCTTTCTTTGTGGACTCTTGGCTCTCTCCAACCTAATCTCCTTTCCCCCACTTCCCAAATATGCATCATTCAACTCCATCCCGGATTTTTTGTTTGGTGTCGCCAGTCCCACCCCTCACTGTGAAATCGCATGCAGGAACGTGTTATTTTAGGAATTGGTGACATTTGAAGATGTAGCTGTGTACTTCATCCGGAAGGAGTGGAAGCGCCTGGAGCCCGCTCAGAGGGACCTCTACAGAGATGTGATGCTGGAGAATTACGGGAATGTGTTCTCACTGGGTAAGGAGTTACGCTTTCTTAATAAAACTCCCTTGGCATTTCTATGCTTGCTTTTTGCTAGTAACAGCTGAGTCATTGAAAATAATTAATTAAGGGTTGACTTAGTCTCAGAAAATTCTAACCATGATAATAGTAACTCCTATTTGTACAGTAATTTGCAGTTTATAAAAGAGCTTTCATGTATAGTCTTTCATTAAATCCTCACAGAAACAAAGCAATTCAGGTAGCTCGAATTATCCTTATTTTATAGATGAGGAGAGAGAGGTCAGAGGTCTTAAATGCTTTACATATAGTCCTGTAGCCGGTGAGTGGCAGAACTCAAACCCCTGGTCTTTTAAGTCCAAATATGGTACTTTTTTCTATGTTATTCTTAGAATTTAACAGAGAATCCAGAAACTTTTCCAAAAGATTAGCATATTGGGATCCCTGAACATGCGAGGTACTGATCTGTGCCCAAGTGAACATTCTGGAACTCTGTCTCCTCCCCTTCTCTGTTGGACTTCCTCTAGGGACTTGGCGCTTTGTTCAGAACCTAGTGTAACTGCTGCTCTCATAGAAATTTTAGCTTGTTAGAGGGAGCAGTTCGCTTCTTAACCTTTAGCCTATGGGCTGTTACTTCCTCGTCTGTCATCCACTTTCAGTGAGAACATTTTCCTGAGCAATGCCAGGGGGTCTTCCTAACTCTCATTTGAGACCTCCCTGACATATCCTTTTGTCCCCTACAGATCCTGGGTCTGGGATTGAGCTCTGGGACTGCTCGGCATGAGCAGAATAAACCTTGTCCCATATTTTTCCTCATGAGCAAGATTCTCTTTTCTGAATTTTGCTGTCATCTCGGCTGGAGTAAGAGGAAGACCCGAGGGTCCTGGGTTTGCAGGGAATGGAGAACAGAGAGGACCTGTTTGGATGAGGGAGAAACAGCTATTCCTGTCCCTGACACTCATTCCCAGTATTTACATTTGAAAATATTGACAAACTAAAAAAGCTAACATTTAGACCCTTTACACTTAACCTTCTGTGCCTAAAGTTTCCTTTAGAAACCCCAAGGCAGTGAAAATCGAGAAGTCAAACATGGAAATTGTTTACATATCCTACGTCAGCACAGCCTTCTAGGCCCAGGGCCCAGAGATGGGCTAACTCTGTCATTTGCCTGTTGCCGTGGATTTGGCATATGTGGCACAACTACAAACATGAGTGTTCTTTTCACCTGGGGCTGTAGGGGTCACTGGTGGCCTTGCCTTTGTTTCTTCTTCTGCTCTGCTACTGTTGCTCATCACCTTCCCCACTTTTTTAAAACTTCTGGTAGTTACCACTCCCCAATTGCATCTACAGTCTCTAACTTCTCCGAGGACTTTGTCACTTATTAAATAGCATGTCCTTCCTCTTTTATTTTTGGTTCTCTGCTTCTGCCTGATGCATCCTCTCCTTACATACCTAACTTCTCTGTACTTCCAGCTCTTGTCTCGATTTTGCTTCCTGCCTTTCTTCTCCCCTCTTTCCTCAACCCATTTCTTTGATTCTGCCGTAGCCACACACTGCCTGGTCAGATAAGACGCATGCATGTGATTTTCCTGTTCTCTGGTTTTGTGATTCTTCCATAAGGAACAAGTGACGTTTGTATTTTGTATTGTGCCAGATGGTGAGACCAGAACTGAGCATGATCAAGACATTTCTGAAGAAACAGGATCACACGGGGTGCTATTGGGAAGATTCCAAAAGGATATTTCTCAGGGTCTTAAGTTTGAAGAAGCCTATGAACAAGAAGTCAGTCTAAAGAGGCAGTTGGGAACTTCCTCTGGAGAAAGATTGAATAGGAAGATACAAGATTTTGGTCAAGTGACAGTTGAGGAAAAGCTCACCCCCATGAGAGAGAGAAGTGAGAAATGTAATGATTTGGGGAACAGTTTTACTGTAAGTTCCAATCTTATTTCACATCAGAGACTTCCTGTGGGAGACAGACCCCACAAGTGTGATGAATGTAGCAAGAGCTTTAATCGAACTTCAGACCTTATTCAGCATCAGAGAATCCACACTGGGGAGAAACCCTATGAATGTAGTGAGTGTGGGAAGGCCTTCAGCCAGAGCTCACATCTGATTCAGCATCAGAGGATCCACACTGGAGAGAAACCCTATGAATGTAATGATTGCGGGAAGACCTTCAGCTGTAGCTCTGCTCTCATTCTGCATCGACGGATCCACACTGGGGAGAAACCTTATGAATGTACCGAGTGTGGGAAAACCTTTAGCTGGAGCTCCACCCTTACTCATCACCAGAGAATCCACACTGGAGAGAAACCCTATGCTTGTAATGAATGTGGGAAGGCCTTCAGTAGGAGCTCCACCCTTATTCATCACCAGAGAATCCACACTGGAGAGAAGCCCTATGAATGTAATGAGTGTGGGAAGGCCTTCAGCCAGAGCTCACACCTCTATCAGCACCAGAGAATCCACACTGGAGAGAAGCCCTATGAATGTATGGAATGTGGAGGGAAGTTTACCTATAGTTCAGGCCTTATTCAGCATCAGAGAATCCACACAGGGGAGAACCCCTATGAATGTAGTGAGTGTGGGAAAGCCTTTAGGTATAGCTCAGCTCTTGTTCGCCATCAGAGAATTCACACTGGAGAGAAGCCTTTGAACGTAATGGGAATGAGCAAAAGTTCTCTCAGAGTTACTGCTGAATTCAATATCAGAGAGTCAACATGAAAGAGCCACACACCACACCTGTTTTTCTCAGTTTCTCTGAGTCTAAAGAGCTCCTGCCTTACTATAAAAGTATGAACAATTTAGGATGTGTCCCTTCTGACACAAACCTTTCACTTTAGAGAATGGGGCAAATTGGGCAAATCATCCTGGCACCGTGATTAACAACCTAGTCAGTTTCCCCAGGAATGACACCAGCCTTGAAAAATGATGAGGCAAGCAGCATATTCAAGTGCTGGGGATACGAGGGAAGCTCTGGGACCAGTCACCTTCCACTTTGGAAGGGAGTTTGCACTAGACCATTTTTCTCACACCAAGGGAGCCTTTCTTTCCAAGGTGGGGATGGAAGCACAGTAGGAATGAAACTCGAAGGATTCCTCTAAGAGTTGGAGTCAGTATAGTCCGTGCAGAAGGCAGTGGAAAGAATGTTCTGGGCCTGCTACAAAAGGGCAAAGGCTGTATTTGAAAGCCACTGTTCCTAATCCAGCTTTAAGTTTTGATAAGGAATATGCTATTTTCTTTAATGACTTCACTAATTGTGGAAATTTTGTGCTGAGGGATTTGTTATTTTATTGAGCGGGGCAAGAGGGGTTTTCTGTGGTGACTATTCTTTAGGGTTCTTGGGAGTAGCAAGACCAAGTTTCCAAAAACATTCTGGCAATTTTGTTGGAGAACCCCTCATTCCCTGTTGTGGTAGGACTAATTGGGAAATCGGCTCATCAGTGAGTCTAACATGAGGGAGTGGATCAAAAGCTTTTAGCATTGGCTTCTGTTTCCTCTCCCATTTCCTCTCACCACTTCTGTGATGAAAAGGGATTTAATCTAAACCCCTACTTAGGATGCTTTAAAGGCGCTCGCTCATCCAGCTTGCCCTGCCCTCTGTCACTTACGACCTGTGACCGCGACCCAGCAGCCAGACTTCTCCTAACCCCACCTCTAACTTGAGCAAAGTATGAATGCAAATAAAGCAAAGCCCAGAGACAGCAGGGCTCCTTGCTGGGTTAGGCTCGAGCCCCTGAGTATTCCCAGCTGAAGGGATGACCTTTCATTTTGTTTTTCCAGTCCTGCTCATCCTGTAGCATAAATGAAGTGCACTATTAAACAGAATAGTTTTTCAGAAGGAGAGATTGAGTGTGTTTTTGTGCAGGGGCCAAAATTATTTGTTTCAACATGAAACATTAGTGACTGTAAATGCAATCTTTAATATTAAAATTTTTTTTTTTACAGACAATTTCTCTTTCGGCCACAAACATGACCTCTTTCCCTCAAGACTCCATCATATTCCTCTAGATCAGTGGTTCTCAACCTGTGGGTTGCGACCCCTTTGGGGGTCGAACGACCCTTTCACAGGGGTCACCTAAGACCATTGGAAAACACATATTTTGATGGTCTTAGGAACCGAGACACCGCTCCTCTATCCGTCTACAGGCGTGTCCGCCCACATGCAGATAGGCCCACATACGAGTACCAGGCGTGATGACATCATCGCACCAACCCCATCACATACACCCCGTACAAATACAGGTGTATGTGACAGGGTTGGCGCCATAATGTACTTATGCGGACCAGTCACACGTGTAGAGAGCAGCTACTGTGTAGAAAGCAGCTGCTGTGTTGAAAACAGCAGTATTGGAGGTAAAACGACACTTCATAAATTATAAATATTTCACAATATATAATTACATTGTTTTTCTGATTAATCACTGCTTTAATTATGTTCAATTTGTAACAATGAAAATACATCCTGCATATCAGATATTTACGATTCATAACAGCAAAATTACAGTTATAGAGTAGCAACGAAAATAATTTTATGGTTGGGGGTCACCACAACATGAGGAGCTGGATTAAGGGGTCGCGGCATTAGGAAGGTTGAGAGCCACTGCTCTAGATACTGCTGTAAACTATTCAATCATTTACACAGTCGCTCCCACCTTTATATCCACACGTAGGATTTTATGTGCTGCATGGCATTCTGTGTGGTATGATACTTAAAACTAGCAACCAAAACTAGGTGTTACTGGGCATGGGGTCCCTGACAAGAGCGTACTTGGATATTGAGTAGCAGTGGGCATATATAGATTTCCTAGTTTGGCTGTTGGTGGGAGGATGGTACCGTCAGGGAGAAAGCTGAGATGAAAGTCTAGTGGAGAAGATGAAATGTCTGGAACTCTGGCCTCTGAAAATTTTTGGTTTACATTGTGATTGACCACCTAATAACGTTTTTAATTTCTTAAAAGCTATAAAGAAACATCATTTTGAATCTTTGACATTCACCACATACTTACAAATTAACTTTGTTTCTCAAAGTGTAGACCGTGAACTATTCATATTAGAATCAGTAGGCTGCTTGTTAGTAATGCAAGTTTCTGAGCCCCAAATCAGACTTATAAAATAATTTCTGAGGATAGAGCCTAAAAATCTGAGAAAGAAAAAATAGTAATGGAACAGAAAATTTCCAGGAGGAGATAAACTTGAGCTAGGTCTTATAAGGCAGATAATATGTGGTAAATGGGAGGAGGTCCCAGGCGGGATAGGCCTGAGCATAGCCACTTACGTGAGCTCTGGGAAAGCCCCCCGAACGGATGAAACTGCTATGTGATGAGTAGTCACTACACATGAAGGACCAGCCCCTTCTCTACCCAGATGCTGAACCAGCCACACTTCATAACTGTCACTCCTTCAGATCTCAGTGGGAGCTGAGACTGATCTGGGCCATTTGTTTTTACATATCTTTGAAACTACTTCCATAACATTTTATTCACCTGACTTCTGATAATCCCTATTCCCATCAGTCTCTAGCAGCATTTCCTAATGTCCAGTCATGGTATCAGTTTGTGCCATTATCCTTGGAACTCATGTACTTTCATGGCCTCAAATATTAACCCCTGCAAATAATTTTAAATCTGCATGTGTGGTACTGATCTCTCCCAAGCTCCAGGCTTGGGTCTCCAGCAGAGTAGGGCATTTACTCTTGGACCTCTAAGAGTTTCACGTGATGTGTTTCAAACCAGATATATCTTTCCAATAAACTGCCCCCTCATAATTTCTGCAAATCTCTCAGGGTCACAACTTTGGAGTTTTCTTTGATTATTCTCATTCTGCATCTAACCAGTGTCAAGACCTGGGCAGGTTCGGTTAGCATGGAGTGGAAAGAGATTGTTATTGGGAAGAGTTCAGCGTTGAGGTGATGGAGAAGGTGGGATTTCCAAGTGATGGTAATAATAGCAGATCACACATGGCATATATTGTGGCCCTTTTCCAAGTTTTTCATATATTAAATCATTTAATCCCCACAACTACCTGTGTGAGGCATGTGTTGATATAACCTCATATTACAGATGAGATAATACAACTGAACTTGCTTAGTGAGATAAGACAATGAGATCAGAATGGAAGACTTCCCCTGGCTTGCTCTACTTGGTGGGAGGCTGGACCACATCATCTAGGTGACATGTGTGAAGAGTGAATTTCAGGTGATTGTCTTGTTAATTATGATTTTACAACCTTCATAGTTCTAGCTCCTCTTCATTGCTGCTAATCCTAGAGTTCATTCTGGTCCTCCTCCTTCCTTGGATTATATAAAGTCTGCTAATGGATTATTATCTTTATTTTCTCTCAAGTTAATCTCCCCAAAGCACTACACCCATCTTGTCACTTCTTTATCAAAAAGTTTCAGTGGCTTCTCCTTTCTTACAGAATAAAATTCAAACTCCTTGGCTGTATAGTCAAGGTTTTCCTTGAGCTAGTCTCTACATATCTGCATGGCCTTAAATTTTTACCACTCCTCTTCACACATCTGAAAACCAGATGTGTGAAAAACCAGAGCTGGACAGTAGAGTGGTAAAAACGGATTTTATTCACAACTATTGGCAATCGGGGGAAAAGAGACCTCAGTATAGAACTGGGCTCAATTCTCAAAACAGTATGGTTAAGTGGGAATTTATAGCCAAGGAACAGGGTGAGGTCAGTGGATGGAAAATTACTAAGAGGAAACATCAGGGGTTAGGGACTTCTGGCTCAACTGACCCAACAGGATTCTTGCTGAAGGCAGGCCAGGGTGATGATGGAGGATGAGGGGGGTCAGATATGGAGGATATCTTGCTAAACTGACTTAGCAGGATTCTTGCTAAAATTAGATTTTTTTTTTTAAAGATTTTTTTTATTGGGGAATTGAGGGAGGGGGACAGACAAGTTGCTGTCCTTTTGTTCTTCAGTCTAGTTGTGGAGGATGTTGCTTCACTGGCCCATGTTGGTATTATTACGCTCTTCCCGGATGAGGTAGTGGCTCACCAGCCATTGGACAGCCGCTCACAAAAGCGCATGCGAGCTGCTGGCCAGCCCCACTGAAACCTACACTATTGCCAGCGACTCACTGCGGCCCAGCTCCAGGTCGAGCTGTTGTTCACCATCTTAGCTGTCGAGGGCGCAGCATTACTGGCCCTCATGTGGGATCTGAACCAGGGCCCTGCTGTTCAGAGCTGGCATTTCAAGCCAACTCTTAACCAATGCGCCACTCGGCTGGCCCTAAAATTAGATTTTAAAAGGAAGTGCACAGAGGGGCCTAGGAGAAGGTTCAAGAGCCAGAGGGAGGTTTGGTCAAGCAAAGAATCTTTGCCACATCAAATAGCAAGATGATAAAAAGGTTCCATACACCCCCCCACACACACACATTCATGCCTACTGTGTTTTCCCGAAAATAAAACTGGGTCTTATATTGATTTTTGCTCCAACAATCTACATTTATTCATTTATTCATGTACAAAAATCTACATTTATTCAAACAGTCATGTTTGGCTGACGATCTTAACTGGGGCTTATGTTTAGGATAGGGCTTCTATTATGAGCATCCTGAAAAATCATAACCATTTTCTGGTTAGGTGTTATTTTCGGGGAAACACGGTATGAGTTTGCTCACTCACAATGTTCCCATGTCCTGCTGCAGCTCCTCACATCCAATCAATAAAAATCAAGAGTCCAAGAGGGCCTTAACCATCTTCAACCTCCCACTCAGTGTAGAAACGTTCAGTGGTATCCCTGCCAGATGACTATTTATTGTAGTTATCTTCAGGGATGAGAGGCTAATTGCACTGGGCAAAAGCAAGCAATTCCACTGTTGAGCCTTCTGATCGCTGGAAATTAAGTTGAGCTGAATTCTGTCTCCCTGTAAACTCCTGCCTTTTGTTAACTTCCAGCTTTGCCTTCTCACCTGTAAAATGAGAGGGATGGGCAAGATTTTCAAGGATGTTGTCAGTCATAGCAAAAGCAATTTCATTCTTAGTGCTCCTCTCCCCCCACCCATCACATGTCAGGCCTGTTCTTTGAGATCCAACACAAATAATTCTAGGAAAGGATATTATGTAGTAAGTTTCCAAGTAAGGAAAAAGCCTGGTTTTACCTAAATGTATCAGCTGACAGAAATATAAACCATGGCAGTGATGATGGAGAACATCTTAACACATTGTTTCTTTTTAATTAAAAGATTATTTTTGAAAGTCCAAAGACATTTTTTTTTAAAGATTTTATTGGAGAATTAGGGAAGGGAACAGTGCTGAGGACTTGGGGAAGGGGAACATTGTGTTTTTCCAGGACCAATCAGCTCCAAGTCAGGTTGTTGTCTTTCAATCTTAGTTGTGGAGGGCGCAGCTCAGCTCCAAGTCCAGTTGTTTTCAGTCTAGTTGCAGGGGTGGGGGGGAGGGGGCGCAGCCCACCATCCCATGTGGGAGCCGAACCAGCACTTGTTAAGAGCACGCACTCTAACCAGCTGAGCCATCCAGCTGCCTATCGGCAGCTCAGTGGCTGCTCAGCTTAGGCGCAGCTCACTGGCCCATGTGGGAATCGAACTGGCAACCCTGTTGCTCAGAGCTCATGCTCTAACCAACTGAGCCACCTGGCCACTCCTGGAAAGACATGTTTTTTACATAAATTGCTTATACAGTTTAAATTTTTTCTACTTCAAAAAAATAAAGCCTAGTCAGGTGCATTATTTTAAATATGTCAGTAATGAACTGAAGATTTTTAAATGAGTCAAAAATTATATGGACTATTTTCTGCATACAAAGATAAATATGCTCACCAGACTGGTTTCTCCAGGAATGACAGAATTCTTATCTGCCTCCA